CTTTTACTTGTTCACTTGGCTCCTGCGTAGTTGGTGAAAGTGTGAGAGGCTAAAGACAACAAGAAAGGCGATGCCCGCAAAGTCTAACCCCTCAAAGAGCCCAAGGCAACAGAGCGACACAAAAGAGACAGACGCCGGCCCCGCTCGTTATTTCCTTCAGACAAAAACAGACAACCCGGCGCCGGGCTCCTCTCGGCGTTTCCTCAGCTGTTAAAACACACAGACACCCGAACACACTCAGAACAGAGGCGCGCGGGCCTTTTTTCTCTGTCTCGTATCTCTGCGGCGCTCGTTGGAAAGCAGACACCCACACACACACACACAGAACAGAGGCGCGCGGGCCGTGTTTCTCTGTCTCGCTCTCATGTGCGCGCGGGCGCGGGGGCTCTCGTGTCTCTCTCGTGTCTCCGCCGCGCTCGGCTTCTCGTTTGGCTTGCGAACACGCACCCGACAGACACGCAGAAAGACAGACAGACAGACAGACAGACAGAGACACACCCACACACACCGAGGCGCGCGGGCGCGGATGGCCTTGTTTCCCTCGTGTCTCCTTTTTTTCCTCTCGTGGTCGGGTCCCTTATTTTTCGGGCCCCTTCTGATACCGCGGCCCCAGTTTTTTCCGGGGCCATGTTGGCCCCAGTATTTCCGGGGACCCCGCCAGAACTATAAGGAACCCCGCGGGAAAATAAGGACCCGGGATTTTTGCGGCCCCTGTCCGCTTAAAGGGGGAAAATCCCCGGGGCCCTTATAATACAGGGGGCCCAGTTTTTCCGGTCCATGCATAGGTATATCTACTCTGGCAATTTCCACAAACTACATGATGACGTTTTGACGAATATCACTCACACATGACTTAGCTGTTCACTGTGTTACTACCTCGACTACTTAGCTGTTCACTGTGTTACTACCTCGACTCAGAAATGCGAATACAACGACTACTTTCTTATGCACACACATTCATATTACTAGACACCCTGTCAACTAGACCCACACCCCAACGATGCTCCCTACACCTACTGCTACTTCTAGCTGCCGCCTTTACTTGCCGTCGCCTGGCCCAGCTTATTTGTCGGATCCGTAAGAAAGGCGCTTCTCAAGACCTCGTCAACGCGAACTCGTTCCCTATAGTCGTACAGAAAACACTTCTTGCAAAGGCTCTTAGCTTCTTGGGTTAGAAGATACAGGTTTACGTCTACATGAAGATAAGAGGTATACGTATACCTCTTCTATAAATATGAAGATTACAGGACAGGAATCGACCAGCTGAATGGGCCTTGCACTGCAACGTAAAATTTGGCAGGGGACATTTGAGCGGAAAGTTGTTTGGTTGTTTCAGTTTCTCCGTTCATAGAGGAAGACGGAGAGGTTTATTAAGACGAGACACTACTCAGTAACTAAACAAAAAAGTGAAACAAAGAAACGACCACTGTTGGGATCATACTCATATACACATCAAGGGTGCTCAAGGGACAAGGAGAGTCAGAGTCTTCTATCATGGAAGTTTGGTTGAGTATCATGTCTTCTTCCATAATGGATTTTTTACCCACATATCATGACTCCAATCGATTTTTACTAGCTTTAATCGCCGTCTAATCTGCTCCATTCTTGGGTGGCCCACGTAATTTTCTCCCGCTTCGCTTAGACCTTGCCTATTCTCCATGATGATGTCTATCTACTAACGTATAGTTGATGGGCATTTACTTCCAACTCGAACTGTTTCTCCATCATTGTTCATGAAATCGAAATGCTCTAGCACTAGACTAGTACTTACAAAAACCTACTACAAAATGTAAATGAAAATAGTGTACTAGGATTGAGGGAATGGCGTTGGTCAACTTCTTAACTCGTCATCAAAAAAAGCTTTCTTAACTCGTCATCAAAAATAGCTTGATGGAAGGGCAGCGTTCCCGTAAAAATCGTGTACAACATCACACCTAAGGCCCAGACGTCGCATGCTGGAGTCACGGAGCCGGCATACACCTGAAGAGTGATGTGTTGTGGTTAGCGCAGGCTAGGGATCTTTCACACCGAGCTCCTTCCGGGCATATGGTTCAAGTCCGGAGATGATGGGTATTATCATGCATGTAGTTCCATGGCAGGTAGTCTAGTGTAAGGTCATGGAGTTGCATGTACTGCGTAGGGGTTTTGCAGCTAGAAGCTGCACTGTTATGTTTATGTAGGAGGTTACCTACTCCTACTCGGGAATACGAATATAGACGTGTAGAAGAGGTGGATGTAGTAGATGAGCTAGAAGGCATGCAGGTAATATCCAGTATACCTCTGGTGCTATATACTGGTCCGTTCCCATGACGTGATAAGTGATCCGGCCTGGCGTCCACACCTCGCAAGTATCAAAGTTTCTATTAGCGAGCGAGGGGGGAGCAGAAAGTTTTTGTCTTTTTTTTTTGGAAAAGAAACAAGAAAAGAGTCACTTATAGTCAATAGTAGAGTGTTGAATGGAGGATCGTGACCTATTCTTGATGAGTAGAGCTAAGGGCAGATGTTCTTTAGATCAAAGGTCGGCACTCAGTGGTCACTGATTCTGAACGGGAGGGGCACCGTAGGCACCCCTCTATTTGTTTTCCCTTTGTTTTCCCCTGTTCTCTAAGGGGGAGCCCTCTTCGATCTCAGTGACCAACCCCTATGACCAATGAAAGTTGAGCCTTAACTAGAACTTCCTAAGAGGTTGTGTTAAAGAGTGAGTCTTTGTATTTTTATCATGATGTAGTTATAAAGTTGTAACACTGATGTAAATGATTATTAAGATCCTTAAGTACTTACAGCATCCTTAAGTACTTAGACAGCACGCGACCATGCACCATACCTATGACTTTTATAACGATGTCCCCCGCGTCACCCCCTCTCCGTTGGCCGTTTTCGTCCACTACTATGTTTTCGAACTTGAGATCCCTATGGCATATTCCTACTGAATGAAGGTCGAGGAGTGCGCCAGCGATCTGGCTTGTAAAATTCCGTGCTATTGCAAGAACGAAACATGAAGGAGTGAGTCTGAGTTCTTTGGGAAATTATGAAACGGAGAGGGAACAACATTCATGGTAGGTATGCACCAAGAGGAATCGTTGTACCAGTCGCGGATCCTGTTGGATCCTCCAGTTCAACCAGACTCAACTCCAGTTCAGCTTGTACCTAATCTTGAGGCGTTGTTCTACTGCTTCAGAGCTATGTCTATGATCCTTTGCCATTTTTCAAATGTGCATTCTATAGATTCCCATTCTCTTATTTGCTCTTGCTTGTAGTGTCGTTCCTTCTTGGTGGTTCCCAGTGGCTTTGCAGATTGTGCGTGTCTCGGGTCAACTCCAGTTCAACCAGAACTTTAACTCTGTGGTCTACCATAAATCTTGACCACCTTTTTTTCCGAGCTTCTCCTGCACGAAATAATCGAACATATCCCTGCCTTTTACTCGTTCCATCACGCTGTAGATCCACTCGCCATCCTCGAGTAAGTCGAACCTTCAGGTTGATAAGAGTCAAGGTTAATCAGAGTCAACGCCTACTTTTCATATGAAGAGATGCAACAAACCCTGATGAGGTTGTTCCGACTTAGCTCGTAGTTCGTCTTGGTCGTAATTGTAATTGTATGTACGGAAATTATAAAACAGAAACTAGAGCAAGGTTTTCTACACAGCCGCGACATTTCGCATTCTGCTTTTGAAATTTTTCTTCTCCTGATCGCGTCCCCCGCTGACGTAAAACATCAACGCCATACTTTCTCGCCAATCACTCATCTCTTCATCGTCTTTAAAACCGCGAACCTGCGCACGACATTTATAGACATTGACATGGGTCAAACCGTCTAGAAAAGAGTGAAACAAGCATAAATACGGGATGAAGAACGGTCGTCTATTTTACCTTTCTGTTGGAAGTATATCCAATATGGATAAAAATTGGCAAATCTCCTGTTACCTTGTGCCTTCCTTTGACAACGACCTCCTGACCATCTTTTCTTCGTACTGCGACCTTCGTAAATTTGTTGTCGTCAGGCAAATCTTGCAGAAGACTTGAACCTATCTTAGTTAGAGCCGGGAGGTCCTCTTATCGCGTTCGGCTGTCGCTGATGTCAACTTTCCCCATGACCGTAGAGACAAGTTTTGAAAGTAAGTGCCTCTAGTTTCTCCCTTATAATATGCATATAGTACTTAGTAAGAACATGAAGAAGAAGTTAAAAATTAAAATTTCAAAGTCCATGATAAACAGTCGTGACAGGAGAACACTATTTGATCAAGACTTCATCTTCCCGTCGTGCCAGTTCTCTTTTCTCATCATACAGCACCAGATTAAGTTGGTGGGTGTGCCACCGATGACCATGGCTTTCATCTTCCAACACGTAATTTGTAAAGCTCGTTGACGTCCGCTATCCGTTTCCACTGACGTCCACTAACCGCTTCGCCTCGCGTCCGCCTGCCCACTGCATTATCGCTATACGCTAGCTTTTTACTGCCAGACGATGACGAGGACTTTCCCGACATCACGACTGTACGAGCAAGGTTGATGTGTCTCGAGCAAGCTGTGTGCTGTCGAGCAAGGTTGATGTGTGTCGAGCAAGCTGTGTGCTCTCGAGCAAGCTGTGTGCTGTCGAGCAAGCTGTGTGCTGTCGAGCAAGTGCAAGGGTAATGTCCTCGAGTAAGATGGAAGACGCTCCAGACCTAGTACTGCTTTGTGGTCCTTAGCCTTGTTTTTGTAGAAGCGGTGTACTTGTACTTGGAGAATAAGACATCTCCAAAATGCTATTGCTACATGACGTGTGGGCTTTTTCTTTTCTTTCATGCATCATGAATGCATGATGCATGATTAGTCAACTGTGATGTAACTAACATGCAAGATATCTCCGTTCACGACCGCCCGACGCTAAAATCAGTATCAGTGGATGTGTCCTTCTCCTCAGAAACTGATTTTTCTATGGACCGATACGACACACTTTCTGTTCCAAAAAAGAAAGGACTTTGTTTTTTCCACATCTGCTGCAGCAGCTAGCGAGTTTCGTCGCGTTCTGGTCTTCTGAGAAGTTCTCAGAGATACATTTCTCACAACGATATGTATCCTTGCGTCAAAAAAAACAGAAGCTATCTGTATCTGCGTTCGTCTTCTAGAAGTTAATTTAAGGATATAAACAGTCTGCGACGAATGGTTGTCAAAATGTTCAATGAGTTCATCACGATTGACAATTCGTACGACAGACAGCATGAAAGTGAATCTGAATGTGGGCTCGTGATGAATGGCTAGATACAACAAGAATAACGTTCCCAGTCTTCCCTACAACATAGATACCTTTTCGTCGATTGCGTGACTCAAGAATTCATTTTTTACCTGCTGACTGGCAGACCAACAAGTAGTTGTTCCCCATTACTAGTCCGTTACAAGCGACTTCTGTATGCCGAAGCCGATGCCCAAAATTACAAGAAATCACTACTACTATTTTAATTTTTCAGCAGGCGACTTGGCATTTATGGCAGCCATCAATTTCGCGTGCTCGACTTCCCACACGGGTTTTGGGTTCGTGTGCGAGTTGTCGTATTCTGCTAGTTCTCCTGTCCCAGTTTTTGCGACACCCTCGCCGCCACGCATGTTGCCTATTCTCTGGTAGTGTGCGGTCAGCTTTTTAGTGGACACGGCAGACGTCGCGATCTGCTTTGCCCTCTTCGTCCCGGCTTTTGCTTTTGGAACGACAAGCCGCTCACTCAGCATCCTCAAGCGCCTCTCCTCGTGTGCGCGTTGGTACTTAGAATCATGTGTAGTATGCAACCTTTCTCAGTTAGCAATACATACTGCGACTAAAGTACTAGAGAACGAGAAGTCAAGGCTAGATTTAAAGCTCAGCCTGCACTGGTCACTGACTCTGAACGGAAGAAACCCCCCCCCCAAGGCTCTCCCCTTTCCCTTCATTTTCCCCTGTTCTCTCAAGGGGACCCTCTTCGATTTCAGTGACCAACCTCTATGACCAATGAAAGTTGAGCCTTAATAGATGAAGACGTCGAACGATCGTCATAGGTAACGACAACGAGATGAAAGAACAATCAAGCTTACTAGTGCCAGCCTTAACATCCTCTGCTGTAACATCGTCATCCTTTACCAGTTGACGCCTTGTTGATACGCCAGCGTCGCTTTCGTCTTGCTCCGGCACTGGCTGGAGCTTGTTCTTCCCAGTATTCTGACTATAATTGCGTGTTCGTCGTGGACTCGCTCCTGAGGCTGCTTTTTTATCGCTCCCGTCGTCCCTGAAGAAGGGGGGAGGGCGAGTGGCCTCTTGCTGCGTAGTTCTTGAAGCAATCACTCCATCGCTGAGCGCAGGTTGCCGCATATTCTTAGCATTCTTAGAAGATGAAGATCGATTCCTATAATCAGTTCCACTAGTACGCTCGAGACTTTCTCCTGTCCGTGACCGTCCAGCTCCTCCTGTTATCTTCGAGGCTTTCTTCAACATCTTTCGCAAGCGATCTTCACCAATCAAAAAACCTGCCTTCTTCTTCATTGCTCCACCGCCCTCAAGCATGTAATCCGCGTTCGATGTAGTTCCATGTAGTTGACTACCAGGATTGTTCATACTCCCTAGTAAATCATCTCCCGCAAAAGAAGATGATGCCGAGAAATCTTCACTCTGGTGATGGAGAACGCCAGTACCGTTAACAGCCCACGCGGAAGACGCTGTAGCACCTGCATTCGTTTGTCCATCGTCATCTCCGATGATGTCGCCGTCTTCACCTCGAAAAACTATGTCCGCGCTTTGCTCGCCTGCTCGAGGCTTAGAAGAGGATTCAAGAGTCTATGAAGATCAAGATATGTTGTATCACCACAACGAGCACTTCTATGTATGACGCTCTTATCTTATCAACATCAAGATGTGAATTATAACAAGAACATGAACTACATGATCAACAACTCTCCCCATAACAACCGGTCCTCCGAGAAGCAGACGGCTCTCTTGCTGACGGCTCCACTCAATCGATTCTTTCATCTTTATCGGCGACCGCGGTAGGGCATCGATCACATCTGGCTGTAGGTGTGCTGGAATGCCTCGACTTGGGTCTAGTTGCGCCTCTGCACCGCGGAAGTGGCCTGCGGAAGCCGGTCGTTTTCCACTCGTGCCGATCCCGCCAGCAGCTCGGTCGGCCGCAAATGGGAACATCTCGCGCAAAACCGAATCCTCAGCACCATCATTTTCTGGCCTGTCAAAATAGTCGGGGCCAGGACCGGGATTCGCGTAACTCGGAATCGGCTTTCCCCTAGCATCCGGAGCCAAATGATTACGAACCATTTCATGATTCGTACCTTTGCATTAGAGCTAGAGCTACTGCGTTCGGGTTCCCACCCCTGTGTGACAGCAGCCTTGCCTTCGCTTTCAAGTAGAAAGAGAGCCAGGGATGGCGCTGAGGGCGAAGATGCTTCCTTTAGCGGAGGTAGCCTTAATTGTAATTGCTCCCCTCAGAAGCTCCTCCATATTGTTCAGCACCGCCGCCAGCATTCGTATCTTTGCTGTCAATCCTGCGAGGTACTTTTAGCCTCGCATAGGTCGATTCGAGATCGTTGTATCCCATGCCACTCCCGCCGGCAGAGGAAGTCTTACTGCCAGTGCGGACATCAAACGCTGGATTCATCGTAGGTCGTTCATCCGCATGATGTCCAATTCCGCCTACAGCGTCTCTTGTAGTCGCCGCTGCATTTTTTCTTGCGCGACCGCGACTGCCTGGACGTGCACCAACAAGTTCCCTACTGTCTTGCATGTTGATCATGGTCGACCGCTGCTCTTCAGCAGCTTCCTCTAAGCCTGGATGCTGATTGAAACCGCCAGAAACCATTCCCATCGCTCGGCGCATCGCTGCAGCCGTGAAACTCCCTTTTTGTTTCGAACTTGTTCCTATCTTAGAGGAAGAAAAAGAAGTCATCTGCGCTGCTAAAGCTAAACCCTAAGAATGGAATGTTGTTGATGACTTAATCATTTTTGCATTAATAATATTACGCTCACAACTAACATACACTTACACGTTCAAAAATTTCTCAATGATCAAGGACAATGAATCTCTACAAGGAGAGAGGAAACACAACATGAAAATCAAAGCACTGTCATAACCTGTGTCGAGCTGCTGCTACCGCCTACCTGCTCGTTTCCTTTAGTCAGACTTGGTGGTGCGATGCCGGCTAGCTGCACGGCTCGGCTTGCGTACGAAGCACATATTAGATCTAAGTAACCCGTATACTTAATTCACGTCTAGTACTCGAGAGTCGCATCGTTGACCATTTTTTCCCTCGAAATAAACACTTTGTCAAAGATACATACTGACACACATCTTAGTTAAGGATACTTAAGGAATGTGTAAGTACTTGGGAAGAAAGCCTTAAGTCTTGAGTGCCTACCGCCGCGTCGCCATCGGGTGCGCCGCCGAAGTTCAGGTTATCCCACAGCCGGTCTCGGTTGTGCATTTGGCCTGATACCGTTTCACGCGGCGGCTTGTGCCGGCTCTTGCTGCCTCGTGAAGTGCCCACTAGGGATCTGAGAATATTAGAGCTTACCTAAATCCATCTCGCAGTGCATCCTTGACCCACTTTTCCAATTGAAAGCACGTTAAAGATGCACCTTAAGATGAATATGAGTAAACCTTAAGAATACGGAAGCCGCGTGTGCCCGCTGCGTGCTCGATGGTCACGGGACCCCCATGCTCCTGGATTCGCTCGGGCGCCGCCGTGCCCGCGAAGGCCGCCGTTGTGGGCGGCGCGTCCCCATGCAGCGGCAGGTCGATCAGCTGGTTCAATTTGCTGGCGTCGCGGTACCGATCTCGAGACTCATCGTATGCGAAAGTGGTCCGCTTATCCTGCAAAGACCGTGATCGTGGTCGCATTTTCTTCAGCGGAGAGAGCAGAGAACGGACCACACGGCCGGACGGAGACAATCCACGATCTTCTCCTGGTGCGATCTTCAACTTCGGCTTGGCCCGATCTGACATGATGCTGAAAGACGAAGCACCCTGCTCATTGGCATCCATACCGTCTTCTCCGGAACTGCCAGTGAAGACGTTGACATCCGCGTCGGCGTCATCAGAACCAGAGGAAATGACCTGAATCGAGACGAGTGCGCGAAATTAACATGGCATCATGTGGCTACAACGAGTGGATGTTGGAGATGAAGACAGCTACGCAGAATAGTATCGAAGCGACATCAAGAAAGTCTTCTTTGCCAGCTGCAATTCTTACCGAAAAAAATAAATCTAGAAAAATTATCGATCTCGTCACAACACCCGGCTTCAAACTCCAGAACAACTACAACTCGATTGTCTCAGATAAAATTACTACAACCACAAACAGAAAAAAGGTTCTTGCAATCGTAGTTGCTAGTATAAGTAAGTACGTTCGGATCGAACTCGTGTATTTCTGCCCCGTCCGGTTCGTCGTAGTACAGAGCTGCGGAGGAGAAGAAATCTGGTTTATTGAATTCCGCCATTCGACCTTCTTCTCGTGTCACGAAAACCTTCTTGTCGGGCACTGCCTTGGCTACAAGCTCCAGCCTCCTTTTCTCTTGCAGCTCGCGTCGACGCAACTCGGCCTCGACTTTCCGCTGTCGCTTGCTGTAGGCCTGATAGAACCAGTAAGGCCACACGTAGACCCGCCAAAGCAAAAACGCAGAGGCAAAGCAGAGTCCAGCGTAGGTGAAAAATTCTTGCATGCCATGACCGAACATCCAGTGCTCTGCGGGTGGTGGTGTCCCTTCTATCCTATGCGCTGTGTCTACTGTTGAATGGTTCCGGTATTTTTGGTATAGCCTGAGTTTGATCATAAGGGAAAACAAGAAGAGAACCCTTAGGATCCAACTCAGGTTATACCAAAAATACCAGAACCATACAACTGTCTTGTGATCTACGCGGCACGGCCAAGTGGCTTTCGTGCTCCCCTGTCCCCATACGTCGCAGAAGAGAGGAGTATGAAAGAGAAGAAATGAAGTGTTTCTTGTTCTAGAAGTTCTACTTGTTCTAGAAGAGTACTTACTAAATGCTCATGCTGTAAATAGATACAACTTCTCAAACATCTCGCGTCGAGATCCTCGAGTTCTAGTAGTACGGTTTCGGATACAACTGCTTCCGATGTAGTATTCAAATCAGAATCAATCGCTTATAATTCGCTTCCATTCATACTTGTCACTTTGTCGGTGGTAGCCGCAGCAATTGTCATTCAGTGCCAGCATTTCATCACGGGGTAATCGAAGCCCCGAAGAGGTAGCACGGCCCGCAGGACAGGAGCTGAATGGATCCTGCTTTAGCCTGTATTCTTGCTTCTCGTTACTCCAGCGATAATCTGGGTTAGATTAGAGCAGTTCGTACTTCTACAACTACGCTCGCAAATCCTTCGCCACATTCATCCTTGGCGCCTCGTTTTCCCCTATGGGAAAACTGAGCCTACTAGCATCATGCTGTTGAGTTTCGGAACAAAGCACCTTCCTCGTTCACCATAATTATAGACTCCAGTGGCAACTTTTTCTTCCTCTTGGTCGGTCTCTGGGTTGTTGTACCTGATCAAGACGTCAAAAAGGCAACCGTTGGTAAATTTTGCGCCGCCAGCGCCACAGCTGTCGTCGGTAGAGCATACAGAACAGCGGTCACCGAACCGCCATAATCGGCATCGTGCGTCTGTCCAATTCAAATTAGAGCTAGTACTAGTACTAGAAGAGATATAGTCGTACTTCTTATACAACACTCGTATTAGAACAGATGCAGTATTCGTATTCCTATGAAGATAATAGTCTTAAGTACTTAAATACCTCTTTTCATATCTTGCATGCCATGATCCTCTTTTTGGCGAGAAAGATTTTCCTATCTCAATGATCGGAATTGCAAGGACAAAGAGAACAATAGTAGCATAGAGCAGAGCCTTCTAATGTTGATCCTCGTCATCCATCTGTACTTAATATGATAGAAGGAAAGTGTTGAGCGCACTCCGTCACTTGATGGCTGGTTTTCTTTCCGCTAGAAAAGGAAGCAAAGTTGCAATCCCGCGCGTGCGAAAAAATCATTTCTAGCCGTAACAAAAGGTGTCTTTCCCGCATACTTTTCTCCAGCTTCATTGTAGGGTACTATGCACAGAGCCACACCACCAGCAAAAAAGTAGAGGCCGATGACGTTGCGGCGAAACACGGGAGGCAATTTGCGCCAGTCAGTGGCATTCCCTCCGTCCTTCTCCTCTTTGACTACGTCAACCTTCTGATTGTTGGTTCGGGCCATCGTAATTGGTGCGCGCTCGTTTTTTCGCCATTCTAGTGGTAGAGGATTACCGTCAGCGTCGAGGTACTCATCATCAAGGGGCTTTGCGTAGGCATCTCCACCTCCAGCCGACTTGCGACTCGGGTTGAGTCCCTTCTTGCTTGGTGAGTCATCCACATAGGGGGAAGAGACATTCTGCAGGGCCAACTGCTCCTTTCCGCTCTGTCAAATAATTTCAGAAATTTTGACGACGTTTCTTTGAGTGATTCTTCATGTACTACAACTACAGTGTTCATTTTTTAGAAGTCAGCTTAATATGGAAGTGTGCCACTCGAACTCGAAGATTCAAGAAGGATCTGATTACAAGGGAAAAGACATGAAGCAATTTTACAAGCCTATAATCTAGATTGGCAACATCATCTTTATTTACTGTGATCAACAAGGTGGCGTATCAAAGCGACACGTTGCATACAGGTACACGGTGCAACAAAATAACTCACTGCTGAAGATGTAGTACCTGTAGCGCATGTTCTTTCTCCAACAGCTCCAACCTAGTCATGACGCGCGTCTGTGAGCTCTTTGCTTTCATCTTCATGCCACGCATTTCTAGGTCCCCATCGTCCTCTTCATCCGGCAGCCATCCATCGCTAAAATGCACTTTCTTCCCTAATTTATCGAAGATACTAAATTTTTGTGATGGGGGTGCTGCCATGGTCGATGAGTCTCCTACTCCTCCTCCTGCTGCCGAAGTGCCTGCACCCGTGGTTGTACTGTTCAATGACCCTGCAGCTCCTCCAGCACCACCTCTAAATTCTGCCAGAAATCGATCTTCGCGTTCCGCTTGTTGTTCTCTCTCCTGTTGCTCTTCCCTCATCTGCTGCCTCTCCAATTTCAACAGCTCTGGGTCTTGCACACGAGTCAGAGGGTTCAGATGTGCTTCCGCGTCTTGGACTGGGCTTGAGACACTCCATCCACTTTCGGAGTACATGTCGCCACCACGACGTTTTATGTCCTTGATTTCTTCCTGTTTCTTCTTCAGACCCTCGGTCCACGCAGCCTCCAGTGTGACGACACCAGAACCGTGAACTTCGGAGATCGCCTTCTGGTTTCCTCGAGGGTGTATCTTGGGGATCGGATCTGGCGCGCATTGAGGACTCTTCCAAGCATTATAACGCATCAGCGCGTTCTTGTAATCGCCCAACTTCCGCTGTGATGAAAGGTGTACTTACGAGAAGAGTGTGCGTATCTTTGACGAGTGTGTGACCACTGGGTTATAATTTGGGAAGACAACAATTGATCTTGATGAGCTATGCCTATCTACCTTTGGTCTCTTTGAACTGAGAGACTTTAGACTATGGACATGGTGGAGTATCCATCACATGGATACATAGTACAATTAAATATTATTCATTGTATGTAGCTAGATAGTACAATTAAATATTCATGGTAGCATCTAAATCTATTTCCTTTGTTCCGTAACTTCGCGTCGGCCACTCCAATTTTGCCTAGTGTGCGCATGAGCAGCAAGTCTCCACCTCTTGGCTGTGCGACTTCCCATGTTGGAATCATGTCCTTGAGGTTCCGCGGCATGTTTTTCAGTGTATGATTCGGAATCTTCTGGGATTTGGTTCGGCGTCTTTCCTGCCGTTCTAGCTCCTGCTGACATTAGAGCACGTGTTCTTAGGTCGTTTTCCTTTACAGAAGTATAAAGGATGTTGCCATTCTCCCTATCCCTTAGGACATCAGTCAAAACGAACCGTAATAACAGTATGAGGAAAAGTTGAAGCATCACAAGAACATCGAAACCGACGACATAGGCAAGACAGACCACGAGGACACCGATCTAGTCTAATTATGAAGAATGTTGTCATTTTCCCTTAGGACATCAGTCAAGACGAACCGCAATACTTGGTAAGCGTGAGATAAGAGCCGAGAATTACAAGCAGCACTAGTTGCTGACTCTTAGACTTATCGTATGATCACGTTGGTGCACTATCTTGTGTACAGTGCCAGCTGTACGATAGTACCTACTCTATTATATATACCAGTAAAAAATCAACGAGAGCGGCAAAAACCTGCCCTTAATGATACTCTCGCTCGTCCTCCTCTTGTTTTTGCTCCTTCCACAGCCTTTCCCGCAGTTCTGCTCGTGCATCGAGGTCCACCTCCTCCTCGTCACCGCCAACAGTGTCGTCGTGGTAGTACGCGAGCGCCTGTTTCGGAAGAACGGGAGCCGGAGGCACGCCGCGTCTTGCTGGTGGACCACGAGTATTTGTGACTCGATCTCGAGTAGGGACACCGTTCACATTGTCTTAGGGGTTGAGCGTTGGCGTCTCTAGCTCGCATATCCATGGCTTGCCTACTTGAAGAAGCCATAGAGATGCCTCTAAAGAGGTCGCCAACTTCCAACCCTTAATTGTAGGAGTCATCATCGTCCTCACTTTCATCGTCGCCCAGTCTTCTTTCCAGCATCATCATACTCATACCGCCCCCTGTCATGATGTTACTGGTGTCGTCGACGCTGTTGCTTCGACTGCGCAGCTTCTTGCCTTGTGACGCGGGTTGCTGCTGCTGCGTCTCCATGAGAGCACCGGTTGAGAGCGATCGTTTACGGCCGAAAGCCATTGCAGCTAGGTCAATGTGCTTCTGACCCTTAGCCGGCGCCCCGCCTTCACCTGTCCCTCCTTCTTCTCCCCCAGCGGCCAGATCGATCACCGCTTGCCGCGCCCGCCACAAAGCGCCCAATCCGCGCGTCTTCGAAGGCCGACCCGGCGAAGCTGGTACGCCCAACCGCACCATCTCGCGGAAGAAACGCCCACCAGTAGTTCTGCTCGGACTGCCTCCATTTTCATCACGACCCTGTCTACTCGGACTGCTCCCCCCAAATTTTCCTCGCAGAGTATTCAGTTCCGCTTCGTCCTCGCTGGCGCTGCTTGCTCCACGTCCACCAAACGCCCTAACCGCAGTACTAGAAGATGTTTTTCCACCTTGCTTTCTGACACCGCTTGGCGAAATTGAGCCGCTGAAGAGGCGCGCAGCATCCCGGAAGGCATTGATTGCGTTACTCGCGCGCCGAACCGTGTGCGCACCACGCTGAAAGCGCTTTTTGGTAGGAGATACTAGCTTTTCGAGCTGCCGCGCATTGTCCTTCCGTAGCAAATTGGCATAGCGGTCCTGAGCGGCCTGACGCTCGACTTCGGCACGAATTTCCTGCTCCTCTGCATCTTGGGCGATGCTCTTCTTACGCGCACGGGGCGGCTTCGGCAGCGGAAACTGCATCTTTAAAAATGCGCCATGTTGTAATGTGAAAAAGATAAGTCGTCGTTCTTGTTTTACAGCAATTTATTTTTTGAGCAAAATGGATGCCAATCGTTGTTTTTGTTTGTTGTAGTAGTGACTCTCCGATCAATTTTTTCTCATGTACCTCTAGCATTGGAGTAAGAAACAAGTAATCAAGTGCAGGAGTTTTTCTGTGGTTCGTTTTTCATTCTCGCAGGTTCTGGTTTTTGGTTAGTGTAGCGATTCTCGTGATTTGGTAGTGTAGGTACGTGATTTGACGAGCTACCATGGACAGTTGACAAAACATCTTCGAAAGGTCGAGAGGCAATGCTGCAATGTAACGATTTACTCGCTCACAGATGCCATGATTGGTTTCTGAAACTATCTTCGCTCTCAAATCCCGACATGGCATTCAATGAAACGTATCTCGATTAAAAACTAACACAAGAATGCAGTTTTCGAAGATGTTTTTATACATAGGTACATCTACACTTATCCCAATACCACACTGCGTTCGCAAGTCGCGTCACCGATGCCCTTTCCTCTGTCTTCCTCGATAGCTACTGATCTATCTTATGAGCATGGTTGACCACGACACACCGTACAACACTGATGAATCAGGAAGAGCAAAATAAGCACTTTCTAGGAGTGTCGCTCCCTAGTTCTGAACTTCAGAAAGCTCAACAGAGTGGCTGCAAGTCCAAGTAGTTTCTCTTTGTACTATTATCTTTACAGGCTTCTGAGCAATATTCTTCACTGCAGACTGTCTTCCTCTTCTTGTCTCTTCTATCCTATCCAGTGTAGACCATTGCAAGTGTCCCAGACGTGCACAGAGCAGTGGCAAAGGTGACTGCAAACAAGCCTCTTTTCGCGAGAATGAATTTTCCCCTTTTCAGATTAACGCTATACACTCGCTATCCTCGGTTGAGTGAATTCCCTTCCTCCCGGTTAGAATTCCCTTGACTTTTGACCTTGAAGAGGAAGACTCCACTCTGGAATCCTCACACCAGATTGATAGTGAGTGTCTAGCCTTAATCAAAGCACTTTGTACCGAGCGATATCTGTACAAGCTGTAAACAAGGAGGATGCCACCATTTAGCCAGAGAAGTCCCGCACCTATGGCTATCTTCTCTTCTCGAGTGAGGGTGCTCCTCGCCACAACCACAGGTTTTTTTCCTGCTCCAGCTCCCCTTATCGGGGTCGGGACATGTTGAGAACTATCTGTTGGAACTGCTCCAACTCCCCTTGTCGGGCTCGGGGCAGCAGGAGCACCAGGAGAACTTGAACTCGAACTAGAAGTATCGGTTGCATTCGTACTATTTTCATCTTGGATGATGCCGCGTACTTTACTTGATACTTCCCGTTCAGTTTGATACGCCGAAAAAAGTGCAGTGCCAGCCGCAGTGAACGCCAGGCCGACCTGCGCCCAAGCCAGAAACGTCCTCTCGTTCGCGAGGTGGTCCCTAGCAACGGAACCTGTGTTCTCTACCATGGCGTCTCGACTCCCTAAAGGAGAACGCTCTGAACTATGCGGAGTGGAGGATGAGGGTCTTGTACTACTTGTACTTGAGGAACTACTTGTTGCAGTAGTCGAGAACCAAGAGCAGGTGGACTGCTCCTTATGGGAGGACGTCCCCCTCATTGATACTGGTCGTGGTGTACCGTAACCTGTTGTTGTAGGTGTTCTAGTTAATATTGAGTTGTAGAAACAATTTTTTGAGCAGGCGGGTGAGGACAGGCGCCCAAAGTGACTCGCGCATACTGGACGAGGCATGACGATTTTCCTTTAGTTTTCAAGTTTTTTGAGAGTGCCACTATAGCTTAAGCTGTTGTTGTAACGATCAATATCATTCCTCCATTACCATTTTAATTTTTTCTACTGCATCATAATTCTCGGAGGAGAACTACAACTACAACAGACTGACACCTTTCAGACTGACGCTGCAAGGGCTAGGCTGAAACCGGTCTAGGCTCAGACAGTGAGATTCCTCCATCGTTTCTACGCCTTAACTGGGCAGGATGGGAGTGGGCTCACCTGCAAGGAGATGAGCGCTCAAAGCCATTGAAGAGCCAGAAAAGATGAAAATGGAGAAGGACACGCTCTTGTCCTGATATTTCTTTCACGTCCTTAATAATTGAAGAAGGACACGCTCTTGTCCTGAAGATATTTCTTTCACGTCCATGTCCCGTCCACCGTATCGTATCTCACTCGCAAGAGTTGGGAGAGTGAGACTACGAGTAGAGCACTCGGTCGACCATCCCTGAATGTGTGTCACATTCAGGGCGCGTGGTCCGCTCGTTCCCACCGTCATCATCATCATCAGTGCGTCTCAAATGATTATGCAAAATCATCGGCAAGACCACCGCAGATCAATGTGACAACAAACAACATCAATCTTCGCGACAAAATGTTGAAGCAGATATCCTCGTCTCTTCATGGTTCATTGGCCTCGATCAGGTCAGGGTGCCAAGCAATCCATGTGAATAAATATCAAAACTAAATCCTGTTCTCGTGGTCATTTCCACACGAGTCAGCCTCTGAGATTTTCAAAATATCATGGTCTAACGAGCAAATTGTGCCCTTCGTTCTTCTGACTGTCTCTGACGAAGTCAATCCGTTGTTCATCCGATCACTCATGTCCATCGTGGCTCCTTCACCTCCTTAACACAGAAGTGGCCCATGCCCATCTTCGCATTGATGACACAACTATAGCAATCTTAGATCCAGCAATACCTATCATACTCACTGACCGAACGTTGAGACAAATATCAAATCAATTTGAATTTTTGTATTTTTGTTAATTTTTTCCTAAACAGACGAAGCAGTAAGACAATACTGCAAGGCATCAGCCCATCATGATCAAACTGAGTGATGGACACATTTGTTGTTTATCTACTTCCTAGTGATGTTTTCGACCGGTCCTCCTGTTCGATTTCAATTTCTTCTTCTAGAACTTCTAAAAACTAATTTTTCATGAAGTCCATACCTGCTGCTCTCGTGTCAGTCCCTGCTAATGAAAAACAATTTTCTGATAGCATAATTTTCTATCTTCCATGACGGAGGATCACTACAACAACAAACATCTTAGTAGATTAAGATTAAGTAGTACAGCGAGTGGTCAAAGTGTTCAGACACGTATTTGTCAAAATACTATTTGAAAAAAATATCCTTAGCCTTACTCATCTTTTGTGAGCGTCAGTGAAAGTGTGCAACAAGATTGATTTTCTTCGATGATCGACGACCTTTATTTTTTCATATGGAGTACTTCGTTTGTACTTGTAGGTAGCTATGGTATATTAAGGACAAACTTACACCAACTCCAACAGCATAATGATTCTGTATTAAGCATGTCAGGAGCACAATATCAATTTCGATGCGTACTAATTCATGGACAAATATGATGGAAATCACAATGTACAAATCGGATTCGAGTCGTGTATCCTCAATCTCAATACGTAAATGATCACAGGAAAAACTAATTTAGATACAAACAACAACGAGTTCAGTTGAGTTACAGAAAAAATATATCCAGTTCCAATGTGAGACGCCACCCGCTGTAGTTTTTTGGTGAGAAAGGGATGCGAAGTTCCAAGTACGTTCTAAATGCTATAAAAATTACGTATAAGTTTATAGGTACTACAACTCCATCTTCTAACAATATTTGCTGCAGCCAAGGGACGGAGATAAATCCCCTAACTTCAATTTCAAACCATGATCATCCTCGTGTGAGATGAGTACTTGTCAAATGATTATGCTAAATGAATCAATAGTAAGAGAAGTGCTGCCCTCAACAGTACAACCTACGTGTCAATTACGTCCAAGTCATCAAGTAATTAGGAGTCATCTTCCATCAATTCGTAGTACGTCTTCACGACTGGGAATCATTCCTGTTTCCCAACGAGAATCGCTACATACGACCACTTTCTCTTTCGTAGCTCCGATAAAGTAGCTTCTATTGAAATGCCGTCAGCTCCGATTCTGGGGGCGTCGTGGCCTGTTGTACGAGATGATAGAGGTGGATGGGAGATTATTTAGTACACGGTTGTGCGTGCATCTTCTGCGACACACACTAAGCATTTTGTTGAAAATTATCACTTTACATTACGGGAGAGACCAGTGCGAGAAAACACGAGAGTTAATCAGACTACAAATTTTTACCCGGTGCAACAAGAATTAAGAAGAATCTACTCCTGGTTATGGGTACCGTCAACCCATCTTTTACGCCATCTTTTAGCCAGTTCCTTTTTGGAATAGGCAAAAGATGTTCTAAAAGATGGGTTGTTGGTACCTCTAACCTGGCCATAAAAGGTAAAGATTTATAAAGTAAGGTATAAGTGACAGGTTTAAGTTGTCCTAGTTGTTTGGTTTGATGTCCTCGGGCCAGTGAAGGTAAATGAGTTTAAGTGCCTTGTTCGTCCTTCCTTTAGGAAGAGGACGCGGTGGCTCAGGTGGCCCCTTCTTGCCTCTCAGAACATTGCTCCCACCTGGTGCCGATGCTGCGCCAGCTTCTTCACGGTCGCCCCGTATAATCTTAGCGGTACAGCAGGCTAAGCCTGGCGTAGAAGTTACCTTAGCCCGACGCGTTATCGTTCTGCCTGCTTCCAGGCTTTATTTGGTGTAGCAACAGGAAGAGGAACACCTAAAGCTGAAACTACCTATCCTTAATAACATCTCGGCTAGGTTCTCGACTGGCACCTTTCTTGGTAGTGTCTGGGCTGCCACTCTTGCCCACAGCTGCGTCCTCGCAAAGTTAGAGTTCGCTTTCGCCCTAAGCTCCCTCTCCCTCTATCTTAAGATAGTTGTACATCCTCATCCTGCTGCAGGACCCCTCTTGTTTCCCTTGAAGTTGAAACCAAAGCCTCTCGTTATTTTAGGATGACTATTGCTTTTCATCTTAAGATAGATCAGATTGATTGGGAGGAGCAGTCTTAAGTATAAGTAGAAAGAGTGTCCTTTTCCACCTTGATGTTCTTCTCTGTTTTGTTTGCCAAGTCCTTCTTCGTCATCTCAGCATGAACATGAGAACCGCCTTCCATTAGAGGTAGGCTTTTGGTGTTCGCGTCCCCCGTTTGTTCTGCCTCTCTCCCTTAAGAACGGCAAAACAAGCGGTAACGTGAACGCCTTTGGCCTACCCATAATTCTGCAACTTCATGACCATCTTCAACTACGAGTTCCTCTACTTTGTTTTCGAAATCAGCGTTCTCATTCGCAGTCGAGGTGGCGTTGACCTTGAGTTTAGAGCTACAAAGTCCCTATCTTCCTCTTATTTTCAAGTAGTAGAAAAAGAGCCAGGGATCGATGATTCTGAGGATGCGCAAGCGGTAGCCTTAATGAATGACGCAGGAGCTGCTCCTTCTTCAGAAATGTTATCTTCGGAAAGGTTTTCCACATCAGCATCGTGCTCGTGCTCTTCCAGCTCTAAAAGTACATCGCGTTGTTCTCGCCTCTCTTCGCCTTCCACCTTGTCGTATTTCTTGTCACCACCAAACTCACCATCTTGCCGGTCTAGACTGTCTTCGAATTCGTCTAGTAGGTCGTTCTTAGAAGATTAACTCCAGCTCCACTTCTTGTCTTTTGTAAGTATCATCATCTGAGAACCCAAGCAGAAACCTGACACAGGAGCAGATAAGCCCAGTGTGGACTCTCAGAAGCCAAGCAGTTGAAAACTGAAACAAGGCTAGGCTAGGTTAAGTTAGGTTAGGGTCGGTTAGGTTAGGTTAGGTTAGGTTGTGAAACAATGAAAACAGATGCTACATAGAAAAATAATGTGTGTCGAGAATGTAAAGAGGAGCCGTAATCTCTAATCCGTCTACGTCTTCCCCATGTCCTCGGGGGCTTTGGAGTCGTGACTCAGATTCTGGATATAGGCCTGCCCCGTATGCTGGAAGGATCTCGCATGCTGAACGCTCCACATCGTCACCGCTCAGACCCGCATAGCCCGGACGTTAGAGATTGAGGAGATTGCACACCACCCAGAATCAGACGTCTCACATATGAAGAAAGCTAAAACTGAATTTGTAGAACTAGATTCACCACAATTTTGCAGTTTCAGAAATCAGACTCGTGCATCACCCTGCTCCTCATGCATAAGGTTCATTTCCATCTTTACCGCGATGGGCCATCTTTGGAAGAAGATTAAACATCAAGTCATCCCTACGAACTTCTTCGAAGTTTACACGGAGATGAGTCGCCTCTTCACGTCCCATTTGGCGACAGAAACGCCGATAGTGGCTGTAGATATCTTCTAACAATCGCGTGATCATCTCAATCGCTCGACGATAATTCTCGTAGTTGCTGGTGTGGTCGTGGGAAGCGGAGGATTGAGAAAAGAGGAATATTGAAGAGGAGACAATGCTGCAGAGGCAGCTGCTGCTGCTGCCCATTATTGTTAAGATGAACATGATCCTACGATGAATCAATGTTCACATCATGTTGGAAGGTAAAAAATACTCCACACAGCTGACGTGCAGTTGCAGTGGATCGTCTGATTCTTTTCGATCTGGACCCTCTAGAAAACCGCTGCCACGTCCGCGAAGCCGAATCTTTGACTCGCAGTGAACGGCAACGCGCCGCATGTTGTTCCCATGCTTTCCCAGAATGCGTTTGACCACAACGAAGCTATCTTCGGGATCAATATCCACGTAAAAACAACACACGTAGCGCCTGTTGTAAGTGAGGATCAAACAACATCCACAAAAAAACAAAACACCTAGCGTCTGTTGTAAGTGAAAAACAGTGAGGACTTAGGCTTCTTAGCCTGCCACAAGGAGGTTTGGTTTTTTAAGTAGTCCAAATTGTTTTTGTTCATTGAAACATGCTAGTGCTAGTGGTAGTCGTAGTGGTACGCTTCATTTTGAAGACACCATCAGGTAGAATTCAGCTGTTTTAGGTACTTTTGTTGCTGTCGTATTTTTCCCTTTGCACCTCTGGGCATAGGCTTCTGAAGCGAATAGCGACCATTTGGTGGAAGCTGCGTCTCATCGAAGCCGGCTCGTGCAGGTATGCTAGTACGCATCTCTGTGCGGTACTTTTCTATTCCCTTGCTTACGAAATAGCAGAGTTTAGACAATGGAATGGATGGGATGGACTAGGAACTAGGTTGCTTTTTCAATTTGTTGCTTTTTGTTTAGTTTCTATGCTTTAAAAGAGATAGTCTGCTGGAATTTGGCCTCTTGATGTATTGATACGCGAAGTTTTTCTCTCTTCCCTGCATGTAAACCCATTGCCATAACCATATCTTGACGGCTTCCGCGATGATCGCTACTCCTATAACGTGGTCCAGAATTGTGACCTGCACCACTCTGGTCCGCAAAAGTGTCATGGCTTGATGATGCGTTGTGGTGAGTATCATGATACTTGTAGTGATACTTGTCGTGATACTTGTCATACGTGTCGTATCCGTCAACATCATGAAAGTCGTTTATTTTTTTGTAGTCGTTGTTATACCCTCCACTAGTACCTCCTCCACGAGACGACGAAAAGTTTCGGTTGCTACTTAACCCAGGCGCGCCATCACCATAGGCACCAGGACGATAGTTGTAGTGGTGGTCACTGTCAACACCAGTCCCAGGGCCACAAGAAGTGCCATGGTTCTGGTGATGTGATTGATACTTATTACCTCCTCGAGATGCATTTGTCGAGGAGTTGTGGTAAGGAGCTGCGCCCGTTGACGACGCCGACTGCACCCACGACTCAGGCCACGCGGCTGTAGTTAGAGGACGATTTTGGTGTTACAACTGCTAGTGTACCCCGTTAGCAATGTTGCTTATGCAGCCCCTGTTCTCCCTTACAAGTAACGGTAACAGAAAGAGAGGCGCAACTACGAACTGTAAAATTTACAGTAAGAACAGAAACACCAGAAGTCTAGGTCTAGTACTTAGACCCCTAATGTTGTAGTTCCTCCGGCTGGTCCTTCCCCTGCTCTTCGTGTAGTACTACTGTTGTTGTAGTAATGATCGTGGTTGGAAGCCGCCGTTCTGGCTCTCACTGGCCCTCCTTCACTTGCTGATCCAGAGGAATAATTATCGTACGAAGACTTGCTAGGCGCACGATGATCGCGTCTTTGTTCTCTTTGATGCTTGGAGGACCCACCCCCGCCTGTCTGGTGGTGCGTTTGTTGCCCTTGGTGGTGACCTGCGGAAGTGCTGGTGACTAGAGGTTCCGACATTGCATTCCTCAAAACATAAATTTATCCCTGACTTCCTTCTGCCTCTGATAGTGGAAAAAGAGTCAGGGGTCATGTTAGTGAAGGATGTAATGTGAGAACCCCTAAAGTAGTGCTATTGTATTTGTAGTTGTTGTGGTCGTTGCTGTTGTACTCACAGGAATCATTGTAGGATCCGCTGGATGTTGCTCCTTTACTCATCTTCGACTGGTTGTGTGGGACAGGCATGCTCTAGTTAGTGCTGGTAGAAGCGCTCCTTACTACTCCACTTTTCAGAACATCACCAAACATGATCCTGCGCTTCTTTCCTCTTGGGAAACAAGTCACGAATGAAGATAGGAGAGAAATAAATGCAACATGGAAAGAACCCTTAATGCCACTAGTGCCAGATCGAAGATGTTGAGTGTTGTAGACCCCAGATCCTCCGTGGTTCTGCATCGATGACCCTGATGAAGCGATCATGGGATGATGACCGTTGCCCTTAGTATAGGCGGAACCGGTGTTCTCAGATGTTTGCTTGCATCCACTTTGCTTGCCGTTCCAGCCTCCGGAACTGCTCTGGTGTCGTCCCTTGTCTCCCTTTCTGCCGTACGAAGCTGCTGGTAGAGAATCGTTTTTCTCATGTGAAGATGATGATGTGTTGTAGCCTCCAGATGAGTTGTAACCGGGTGATGGGTTAGGGTAACCAGATGATGTAGGGTGCTCCTTATTGCTAATATACGAGTCGGAGTGGCTTCCGTTACCACCCCCTCCTCCATGGTTTTGCGCTCCTCCATGGTTTTGCGCTCCACCTTGTTGCCTCCCTGCTGCACTTGATCCGGCATGATGTTGAGCGCTACTATTGTTGTTGTTGTAACTGCTGCTCTTAGAAGTAGAAGTATTGTAAGATAATTTTCCCTGTTTTCCACTCGCACCTGCAGATGAACTTCCATATTGATCATGGAGGCTGCTGCCTTTACCACTGGAGTACGTGCCAGCTCCCCCCTTGCCAGTCGTGGCGCCACCTCCCGTTGTATAAAGCCAAAATCCATTATCATTATCACTCTTTTCTACTCGAGAAGCATGAGAATGATAAGAGATTTTGGCTCCATATGTTGCCGATGCACGGTAGTGGTCGCCTGCGGCGGAGGATACAACAGACGCTCCCGCTCCATCAGCACTTTCATGCTGGTTGTAACCTCCGTTGTTCATGGACGAACTTGAAGCTGCGCCACCAGCGTCTCGTTGATGAGCTGTATCCTTATTGTAACCGCTAGTATTAGAGCTTCCCGGAATCGCTACTCCGGAGACCTGTCCTGGGCCTAGCTTTCCCTCGGAGAGCAGAGGTCTCAGGATGCTTCTGGAGATGGACTCCGGTAATTAGCCTTAAAAATAGTAGCACCATGGAGATGGTAATGATCAGCTGCTACACTGGAAGGAGCAGCGAAGCCTTGATGCATGTGATTGTAGTCCATTGTGCCAACCTGTTGATGCTCATCATCTGATGCTGAACCTCCCGTGGTCCTCGTAACGTGAAGATTATAGTTGTAGCCGTTAATATACGAGGACGAGGGGTGCTGTTGTGCTCCCTGACGCTGGTCAACATAGGAGGTTCCCCACGAGTTTGTTCCTTGACCACCTGCTCCACCAGAGGTGTTTTGGTATAATTGGTGATGATGAGCACCAGCTGTGTTTTCGTGATAAGTCGAATACGCCGTGTGCTGGTTAGCACCTCCAGCTGCACTTGTTCCGTTTTGAAAATATCCCTGCTGTTGCTGCTGATGCGCTGCGGCATAGTGCTGAGGAGCATTGTAACCACCGGCTGATGTCGCTGCACCTGCTCCAGTGACAGCTGCATTGTAGCTGTGCTGTTGCTGCTGGGTCATCGCAGACGCATCTGCAGCGCTAGCACCACCTGCTCCTGATGTTCCACCATTATGATAAGTACTCTCATTCACATTGTTCTGCTGCTGGGCAGCCCCCGCATGAGCAGCGGAGCCCTGTGACATATGTATGAACGGTAAAAGTGTGCTCATACTCAAGAGATCTGGAACACAGCTGTTACTCTTTAGAGTACCAGACTGAAGAGCTAAATTATCATTAGGCTCTGGCAGCTCCAGGTTCCACCTACTTGTAACTAAATTCTGCCTACATTCTTGTTGACCTTGAGTATCTGAAGTACACTTTTTTATCCTGTTTTGAACATAATATGCAAATTCTGTTCGTCTTCGGTAAAACTGTTGTTGTTGGTGTTGTTGTAGCTGGTCGAGTGTTGATGCTGGTGCACCATGCAAGAGGACGTATCGACATCCACACCAGAGGAATTATTATAGCTTGGGTGGTAATCGATATGGCCATGGTTGTTCCCGACGTAAAAACCGGACGCCGACGCGGCCGAATTGCTGCCTTAGAAAACAAGGGTCTTTTCACGAGGATCTCCAAGAAATCTAGTGATAATCAATGCCTGAAATGATATATCATGCTATGATAGTGTCGACCTCTGCTAGAATCTCTTATCAGAAGAAGTTGTAGTACGCTTTTAATAGCCAAAAGTTATATATGTACCAGGGAGGGAGGCCCCCCCCCCCCCTGTGGATGGATCTGGGGTGGACCACGCCACAGGGGTCCAGCCTTGCCACCTTATTGGCCAGGCCTGTCGAGGGGCTGCCGGGCGGGAAGGCCTCAAAGCGCCCACTTCTGACCCCTTCCCGCTTCTTGC